TGCCTAGTGTAACTTTGATTTATTTCTGAAACAAAGGTTTCGGGTTCGATTCCAGGGCAAGCATAATTGTGTGATGAGAAAAATTCATTAGAATGTTAGAAATTATGTGTGTCTTAGTTATTAATTATCGCTTATTTTAATAGTAAATGGAAATATCGTGAAACATGCACATTTATTATAAAAATATTGTTAGTTTGACAGAAAAGGATTTGGCAGAAATTAGTTTCCTAGACCAAACTTTAGAAGGATCTTTTGATAAAAGTATGTTACCTAATGGTGGAGATAAGCAAAGAATTATAATTATCAATGAAGCTGTTGTTCATCAACAACCTTTACTAGTCCACTGCTGGACATAGGCCTCTCCTTAGAAAGAAGGTTGCTGTTGTTGTTACTCGTCCTAAAATAATTCCAGACATATATTTGTTTGTAACACACCAATGTCATCACCATCACTTGGAGTGGAAAGCTTGTCAGAAGATATTTTAAATGTTAAATATGAAGTTTTAAATGAATTTGTTAACTCTCCGAGGACATTATTTTATATGTGAGCCTGCGGTTTATTCATCTGGTAACATTTTTACCTCTTTACAACCTCAAAGTGTAGTAAGATTTTTTAAAGCAATAGGATCTCGGTAGGTTAAGGGAAATCTTTGAGACAGAATGGTCAGATACGAAATGAAAACGCTTAAAGAATGCAGGCAAAAATAACAGTATCAATAGCGATGGTAAAGTAAGATGTGCAAGAACTATGGGTTCTAGATGTAAGATTTCTTAAAAAATAAAGTTTTTTGAAAAATTTACAGAACCTGTAAGACAAAAAATATTCAATAGATTTAAGGAAATTGGGGATCATAGCAAACAGTGGGGTGTTCTGGCAAAGTATGTTACCAAAACCACTTAACGGCAGTGTTGTTGATCACGTATAAATACGTTCATATACATAATTTAACTGTAGACTACGATTTTCTAAAACTACTTTCTCACAAACTTTCAGTGTAAGCGAAAAGATGGTAAAAACAGCTATTGATAAATATACTGAAAAGTAATCTGATACTAATGATAGAGGCAGACACCAGAATGACTCCATGGTGCAAAGTGTAATGATCGATCGATCGATCATGCGATCATGTAAAGTCGTTCGTACCAGTGGAATCAGTACTGTCGCAAAGTTTCAAATAAATTATATTTAGCGCTTTTCATTTGTGCTTTTCTTTCAGCAGCATATGTTGTATGTCTTCCTCTACTCTGTATACGTTGCAGCTTGTGATTTCTTATTTTTTAAGTGTATAAAATTGTTTAATGGAATGTATCCTGATCGAAGTCTGAATATGATTTCTATTCATGTTCATAATAAAAACCATGGTACACGAAACGGCTCTAATTGTATAGTGCTGTACCAAATTTTTGTTGTAATAGATTTCTCTTCAAAGTGTTTTTTTTCTAATGTTGTAATTTGAATTTCGGAATTACCAGGTCAAATATTATTTACAAGTCCTTATAAGCAGCCTAATTTAGCCGATCTGTCCGCTTCTTCGTTACTTCTAGCTCTTTGACGTAAATAGGCGAAACTGACTTTTTCAATGACATAAACGCTATTTTGCTATAGATTATTTGAATCTAATTAAAAAACGAATATAGCGGCAATAATAAAATTATTTTATTGAAATTATCAATAAAATAATTAAATTATTAATATAAATAATTTAATTATTAATTGTATTATTAGTAGAAAGGCTAATCAAAACTTTGTACAAAATTTCAGCCAAATCTGTTGAGAACTTTCTGTGATTTGAAACGAAATGTTGAAATTAAACTTTGAATGGCACGTAAAATTTTCTTTTTGCAGTTTCGCCCCTTTACGTAGGACCCATCGGTATGTCAATCGAACCGAATAAAACCACTCGGTTACACACTTGAAAAGAATTCTCCACGAACTTTGCTGCCATAAGTAGCTACACCATTGAATGTAAAGGCCCTGGCTTTTTTTTACGCGTTTAACGTCACCCCACCTCTTCCGTTGACTGCCCGCCCGCCCGCATCTTTAACATACATTACGAAAAGAAGCGACGAAATCCCATGCACTCTCACTTTGGTGCTAGCCGTGGTCAAAACACAAAATTTGACCTAAATACAGGTAGTTATGTAATTTAAAATACTATTATTTCTACTTTTAGAAGGTAAGTTTAAAGTACTTACGAACACTTCACGAACCAAAATCATGTTCAATAACTTTTTGTGAAAAACATAACTTGTTGTGTTTTTATATATTTTAGAAATTTTACTGGCAAGGTTGTAAGTGTATGTAGATACGCGGCAGCGTGTCCGGCCAGGTTCAAAGAAAAAGGAACTGGCGACGCAGCAGCCGTGTGTAATATTACACGAACCATTTCGAGCTACTATTGACCTCTTCACAACTCGAAAACTATTTAACCAAAAAGAAAAGTCTTAAAAAAAATGAAAATTAAGATAAATTTTGGTACTTACAAATTTTCGCGAAAATCTACGTAAAATCTGGGTAGGTAACCCTCAGCGCACGAGTTCGACTCGTACCTGACCGGTTTTTTTCACTAAATCGACAACTGTTTCGGACTTATAAGAATAATTAATTTATTTTTTTAATTTTACTTTCACAAATCGATACATACCCTATCATCCTTCCATATGATTAAAACGACCAAAATTTAACCGTGTGCATAATTTTGTTATATACTCGTTGTAGAAGGTAAGGTCCTCAATATTTAGCACATTAAAATACGATTATGACACATTATGAAACATAAAAAAATTACAGGTATCATCAGTATCATATCTTTCACAAAAAAACAGAAAACCATTGAACTGCAACTACAATATTGAGGGCATTAGCATTGAAAGAGTTGGGATAATTCGTGATTTAAGGGTAATAATCGACTCGGTTATGTCTTTCAGATCCCACTATGATCACATATGCAATGAAGCAAATTGTATGTTGACCTTTGTGCTTCGTAATGCAAAACCTTTTAAGCGGGTTAAGTCATTAATAACTCCATATGACGCCCTAGACTCAGGACTGCGACCTCATCACATAGTTTTCACACATTTTAAGATACCTACGCGATCTCTGTGCATTCCACAATTGTTCACTATACACTTTTTTTCCGTGTGGTAATCCCCTCGGATACCACCGCCGATAGCCGCAATCAGGCTATCGAGTGAGAACTCTCACTCCGATGGCCGCCACGAGGTCTCGCATCTGCTCAACCCACGCCGGGCACTCTGCCAGCGTGTGGAGAGCCGTGTCCACGGTCTGGCCACCGCAGTGGTGGCACTCAGGCGTTGGCTCCTTGCGGATCAGACACAGGTGATCCCCGAAACATCATTTCCCACTGATCACCTGCGTCAGTCGGTATGAGAGGGTCCCGTGACGCCTCTCGAGCCAATCCTCCATAACGGGTCTTACCGCCGCGATGACGGCGTGCCCGGCGCTCGGTTGCAAGAGTCGTTCCCTCCACTCCCCTATGATGACCTGGTGGAGTTGGGATTTCCGGTCGTCGATTTCTCCAATCTCGGGACACCCACCCAACTCCTGCGCCTCCTTGCGCCACTGATACAGAGCAGCAAGGGCTCTCGTCTCCAGGTCCCACGGTGGAGTTCCAGCCAGGAGACTCGCCGCCTCAAAGGAGATCGTGCGGTACCCCCTTATGATCCTGATGGCCAGCACTCACTGCGGACGTCGCAGTATCGCGACGTTGCTGGCCATCAGGGCCCCCGCCCATACTGGGCACCCGTAAAAGGCCCTGGACCGCACAACCCCCGAGTAGAGTCTCCTGCATGAGTTATCGGGTCCCTTCATGTTGGGCAGCAGCCGCGCCAACGCACGCGCTGCCCCAACCAACTTGGGGACCAGACCTCGGAAATATGTCTCTGAAAATAGCCCACTTAAAAGCATGTTTAGCCCGTATAACGTCATTTGTTCGGGATTTTAATAATAAATTACCTTTAATAATAAATTATTTATCTTCAAAAAAACCATATTATTATTGTGATAATTTAACTTAGCGTTTAGTCACCTTTGTTATTATTGTATGTATTCACTGTTTCTAATCTTTCTAAAGCTGTTAACTTTTAAATGATGTGTACAAATATAATAGAATATCAGGTTCATAATATGTATATTAATATGCTATTATTTGTGTTACATAACCTGTTGTCTGTTTATGTATCTGTTTTATAAAAAATAAATAAAAGGCAAGCTTATGTTGCACTCTCCAGAGTTTAAACTTTAGACGGGGTACATCTTAGAAATCTCGATCCAAGTCAAGTTAAGACACAAGAAAGTTCTATATAGTAGAAAACAACCACCCCGACTTGTTATTTTTTGTTGCTACCACAATATTTTTTACTTAAAAGGTAAAATCCAGTCTTAAATTCCAATTGACAATTATTCACAAAATGCAATTATTTCACTTGGGATGTAATTCAAGCTCCAGATTTAACTTTGCTAGTTTTATCAACAAACCATATTTCATAAATTAGCATAGATATTATATCAACCTAACAGTATAAGTACAGTACAAACAGGAAGTACACTAACTTGCGTATTACTTAACGAAGATAAACTTATTAGACAAATATAATTTAGTTTCTACGTAAAAACCAGCCAAGTCATATTTTGAGCTTGAATTACATTCTAAGTAAAATAATTGCATTTTGAAAATAATTTAAGCATTTATTTTACCTATTAAGTAGAAAATATTGTGGTACCTAGCACCAAGAACCAAATAATTGTTATTTTCAATTAATTTTATGATGTAGTATGTTCTTGTAACAAAAAATTTAGGATTTTCTGACACAGAACTGTGCACCCATATAGATCTCAATTCTTTTGTCGGCAAAGTCGACAACGATGCATAATCTTAATATTGAATAGGCTCTCATTTCAATTTATCTTTTTGATGGGATTAAGATTAAGTTAGTATATTCTACAAAATTAGCGATATGCTACTTAAGGTTTAGCTACAATGGAGTGCCATTTCTCTCTTTTTGTAGGCAATAGTATATTAAAAGAAACACCGTTCATCTCTGACTTTACTAACTATTTACCTACTGCAAGCGTTGTGTTCGGTTTTGGTGTGCGGTCACTAGGCAAGGGCGGAGACAGGGTTAATAATGTTTTATGTTCGAAAGTTATATTAATGAAAACATGAAATAATATCTTACAATCATGACTTTTAACTTTTCGCAAGTAATCACAGATATGTCGTATGTATTTTTACAGTAGTTAATGATATGTACCATTGTAAATGAACAAGAAGGACGTAAAAAATTATGGCGGCCCCTCATTATACAAAACTGAAATGTAAATCATAATGACATCAACACAGAAAACTATTGTTGTTTTTGTGTTAGGTTTGTTTCCTATCCAGGATAAATAATTGTGTTATGAGCACGATCTTAATTTGTTCTGTCTGGATAGAATATGTTAATCAGCAGTGTGGTTACCATAGCACAGACTCTGCCTGGTTTGGGATCAGACAACCTTGAGTTGAGATATGTCAAATCAATATTATTATTAACTGCTCGCGAATCATGCTGGCGAACCCAGTTTTGTTTCGAAGGGATGGCAAAACTGGGTTCGAGTCGACATCTTTCATTTTTATTGCCCTTTGTAGTGTAGCAATGTCCGGTAGCAATGTCCGACTCGAACCGACTAAAACCGCGCGCCGTCTCCTATCACACCACCTGAGCAAGTCTGAAAAAAGTGCCATCTAGTCCAGCCACCTCAACTGACATTTACTGCTTGGTCCAAATCTAAATAGTTAAAATAGGTGCGTTCTTTCAAAGTAGGTTGTTAAATGAGGTAGAAGATAGGTGGTCTAGATGATTATCGATATCTGCTGCAGGCCCATTAGCACGTAACAAATCTATGATTTTAAAAATCTCCCAGGTTAATTGCTTATACTTACGGACATCCATTGGAAAATTGCGCAGCGGTTCAGGCTATGTAACAGTTATCCTTAGATCGAATTTTCCTTTCTTTCTTTTAATTCAAACGATAACCTAATTATATATCCAATAACTACAACGTCATCGACATAGAATTAATTGTTCAGTATAATAATATGTTAAATAAGAATAAAATACCTACATTTACAAATACTTGTGTATAAGGTGGAAGTAATAATGGAGTCGATAATGACGTTCCTGCCTATATAAAAGTACGTCTGCGACGAACAGATTACTACGGAGTGGAACATCGCCGAAATAGGATCAAAGATAGTTGTTCTTTTTTTTAAAACAGGTAGGTTGATATTGACATTACTTTCTTGATATGCACGAGTTTATTTATCGGTTATATTGAAACTCAGACAAGATAATACGAATGATTGTAACTTGTAAAAAATCACCTTTCTAGGCACTGTCACCATTTCATACAACCCTGATCTCATAGAATTATGGACATTTCTATCCCCTTTCACCAATATGGTATGAAACATGTTTGCCGCGGTTTGATGCACTATTTTGGTGATTGATTAGAAGATATGAGTTTTATTAATTTAATATTCTAAGTAACATTTATTAGCCTATTTTAAGTAAGTCTTTTTCTAAAAGAAAGATAAAAATAAATTAATTAATTGGAGAACTAATAATGATTAAATGTTTACCTTTGAGGTTTGATAAAGATGAATAAAAAGAATACTATGTTATAGTATCCAAAGTAAAAGGATGAATAAGTTTATACAATACTTTTATTTTACAAATAAAAAGAAATGCACGTATTTAGGATTGCATAAATAAATTTTAATATCAATAAAAATATGGAGTATTACATATTAAGTTGATGCTTCAATAATAACCAGAACATTATTTAAGAAGTAGATGTAAATTAAGTTATAATCTGTAGAACTATTTGAATTTATATTTTATATTATCATTCACAAAAATGTTTTTATAATATTGTTGCAATTTTAAACACTTTTATAAGTCTTTATTTTTGTACACGTTAAAACCCAATCGGGTCGTTAACCCATCGGTTTTTTCAGTGAGGCGGTTTGTCTATAACAACATGGTACACAGTATGCCATACTGCGCCTAAAATAGGAGGGTCTAAGAACAGTTGTTTTAACACTTTCAAAGACCTACATCGTGCTAATTTCAGCCTTTTACTTTTACTCATTACTATTTAAATTATATTTAAACACGTAAAAATACATAAACTTACATCTTTAAAGATATTATTATTTTGTTATGACTGCCCTTTAGAAATTTAGGTAAATTGTTATTCATCAAAAATTGACGAAGCTGTTTCTTTTTTAGGTTAAAGTTGTACTATAGTAATACCATTACAGTTAAATTCATTATTTTAGTGTGATTTCTTCAAGACACAAAACATTAATATTGTTCAGGATTTGTGGACTCCCTTTGTTCAACTAACAATAAAATATTATCTTTGCAGAACAATGACAGGTATAGTCGAAGACACGTATGTACCCAGCTATAATACAAGGTTGATCTTTTATCCGTTACTTTTCCTGGCATCCAGCGCCTGGATACTCTACAGATGGCAACAAAAATCCAGACTTTACAGATTTGCCGAAAAAATTCCAGGACCGCCAGTGATACCTTTCTTAGGAAATGCTCTTTTAGTACTCAAGAAAAATCCCAATGGTAAATCAAAAAATCTTACCACCCTTATTTATTTAATTAACTTTAAAATATTCTATTCAAAATCCAAGAAACAAATTTACAAAATATTTCAATAGTTCATAGATCAACTACTGATGTACCTATGTGGAAATTTTGTTTCTTAGACAATAGATTTTTTTTATTATTTAAAAAATTAATTTTCGATAAGCTTGTATAAAATCAATTTACAGAGTCTGAATAACAAACATTTTAATATTACAGAAATCGTAAATTTGGGATTGGAGTACGCCGAAAAATTCGGCAACGTTGTTCGAATATGGCTAGGTACAAATTTAATTGTGTTCCTGATGGATCCTAAAGACATAGAAGTGATCTTAAACAGCCATGTTCACATCGATAAAGCTAAAGAGTACAGATTCTTCAAGCCCTGGTTGGGAGAGGGTCTTCTTATCAGCTCAGGTATGTATTAAGACATTTTTTTATTTCAAATCTCACATCTCTTACAAACTATACATGACTTTTATCATGAAAATGCACAAAATCTACATTTAGTTTAGTTTACACAGATATGATCGAAAAACTGAGTTTGTTAGTTATATATAATACCGTAATTCTATTATTTATTTTTTCTGTGATAATTATCCTTTTCATGCCATCAAAATATTGTAATCTTACAACTATTGTAAATGCAGAAATTCAGATGAACGTTAGACATTGTTAGATATTTACAAAAGCAGCAAGGAAGAACAGTGGAATAAAGGAACAATGAGATGTATTCCTTCATTTTAGGTGAAAAATGGCGCTCCCACAGGAAAATGATTGCTCCAACATTCCACATCAACATTCTAAAGTCCTTTGTAGGCATTTTCAACCAGAACAGTAAGAACGTTGTGGAAAAAATGCGTCCCGAAATTGGAAAGACTTTCGACGTTCATGACTATATGAGCGGTGTCACTGTAGACATTTTACTGGGTAAGTTTAAAATACATTTGTGTGTTTTCATCAAATATTTGTTTATCTAAACAAAAAAATAATATGACTAGGTCTGTAAAAAGTGTCGTCACCAATAATATTTTTTATTTCGTTTGATAATATTATACATGAACTTGATTAAAACCAGAAAAATAATGGTTTTTGGATGGTTTAACAACGTTTTTTAATACCTCGATAAAAGTGCAGATGTAGGAAAATAGAAATGTTGGTCTTAAATTCGGATAAGTTTTGAAAATTGTCTTTATTTCACAAATAAACCAAAACCTAAAAAATTAAGTTTTAAAATACATTGAATTACGCGTAAAATAACCTGAAGTTTTTTAGCTTGAAAACATGACTATTCAATATTTCATAGAATATTCATGTAATGGACGCTACCTATATATATCTCATTGTCTTTACTATTGTTATTAATTATTCAAATTAGTTGGCCTTTAACCCGTTAAACTGCGTTTGATTCTTTTGTGTTCGCAAATACTAAACTACATTATAAATTTAAATTTAATTAATTTCAATGTTAGAAAACTATAAACACAATAGCCAAAATCTTATTGAATACATCTTAAGCTGTAAAAATTCGAGGTGTAGGATACACCTCGAATTTCGTCAAAATAAATAAATATGAAAATGTCAAGTCTGAAGTTTATAAGCTTGTATAGGAACGGGTGTCATGTCCCTCCAACACAAAGGGAGGATCCTCAGACCAGACGAGGTGATCATGCTTGGCGGGCCGCGGTCCAACGGTTGATGTTGAGAAGTTGTATATTTGCTAATCGGTGAGAGAATACTTCATATCGCGATACTGGATTAGCAATTCTCATTCAGTAATTACTCCGTAGTTCGGTGTGTCTTCGTTAGATGGCGCTGTAGTATGTTTCTGTTTCATCGTAAGTGGGAGTCAGCTTATTCGAAATTTAAACCTGCCTAAACGCTAAAGGAAAACTGATTAAACCATCATGGAGTCTCGAAAGTAACGAAACTTGGAGACCCAAAAGTAACCACAATGTTTTTGAATGTTTTTATAGTACCTACCATTACTATTACCTACCATTAGGTAAAATAGAAGGAGATACGTGCCCAACATTTAGATAACTCCTGTTTAACCATTTCTATTACTAAACTCTTATTTTCAAGCATCCCTAACGTTTCAGAAACAGCCATGGGTATCACAAGAAAAACTCAAGATGAATCTGGCTTTGATTATGCTATGGCTGTCATGAAGTAAGTTTACACTATATGTCCCTAATTTAATACTTTAATAGTAATACTTTAATTAAGACTCATACAGTAATAAGTTCTAGGGCAAAAAATAATCCTTTAATTTTTTTTCTAAAAAGAATTAAAATATAAAACTGACATCCTGTAAGAACTGAGGTCTTTCAGTGAGCTATCCCACTATACTAATATTAATATAATATTTAAATGAACTAATTGATTTGCAATATATCGGATATCATGCTGTTTAAATAAAAAAAGTTATCGAACTTTGTTTGACTATAATAGCAATAGTCAATTCCTTCTCACCATCACAATTTATTATATCTATTGTATACCTAAAAATAGTCTGGGACTGCTAATCTGCATCGGGATATTTAACTAGATTATATAAACTCTTTAATGTTCCTTGTAATTGATTTTTACCCACATTCATAATACTGTCATAATATTGTATTACTTTTTTTAACAGGATGTGCGACATCATCCACCAGAGACATTACAAACTGTGGCTTCGTTTCGATGCACTTTTCAATCTATCATCATTTTATAAACAACAACAGAAACTATTGGGTATTATTCACGGACTTACCAACAAAGTACGTTGAAAATATTTTTATTTCATATGTATTAAGTTAAATATATTCAAGAATAGATGGGAATCCATTCTTGATTATTGAGAGACTAGCCAATAGATGTTTGAACTTGATATCTCAATGGGGTGAACGTAATCGCTTAGCTTTTGCACCCAACACAACCTTCCAGCTACTTTTGAAAGGTAACCTCAAATCACAGCCGAGCATTAAATTTGTCAATGTCACTGTAAAAAATAAAACCTCAGTGTGTTATTTAGGATTAGTTTTTGAAAGAAACTTTTCATTAATCGAACATATTAAAATAGTTAATGAAAAGTCTAAAAAGAGTTTCTGTGCATTGACAAGGATATCAATTGCGACATGGGGTCTATCATTTAATACATTAAAGATCTACGGAGCTACTTATTTAGGTTCTATGTGCTATGGTGCACCTGTATGGGCCGATAGGGCGACCGTAGGCGCTGTCCGTCGCAAACTGTTACAAGGCCAACGACTTGCACTGATATTCTTGTGCAAGGCATATATGACGGTTAGCACTAAGGCTTTGCCGGTGTTGGCGGGTGTGCTTCCGGTCGATCTCGAGGTGCAGAGACATGCAGCTATGTACCATTCAAGACAACGAAACATGGAATGCGATTGCTTCAACTGCAGTCCGATGTCTATAAAGACCTCATAGACAAATGGCAACAACGCTGGGACGAATCATCCAAGGGGCGCCATCTTTACCAGTTCTTTCCATCTGTTCGCGAACGGTTGTCGAGGACATGGCTTTAGGTGGATCACTGTGTTGCTCGATTTCTTACGGGTTATGGTAACTTTAAGAGCAAGCTGTATTCATTTAAATTAGTCGAGTCACCATTGTGCCAATGCTCAACACCTAACTCTCACTATGAACAGTCTGCTCATCATATCCTCTGGGAATGTGGTCTTTGGTATAATGAACGTAATGTCACCTGCCAGCTGTTTAGAATTATATGGGCGGTATACTATGGGGATCTTGTGTCAACTAGGGTGAATTTCCGTGCGTTTAGGCGATTCTGCCATACATATTATAGAAATCAAATATAGCTCACCTAGGACCCGTATTATATTGTGGCCGTGGTGCTTCCCAGTTTAAAAGGGTGTATGCCTATTTTAATTCATTTTGTCACCCGCTTTGCTAAGGAGGGAAGTGGATTTAATGTATTTCCAACTCCTCCAATTTTCTTCTGATTAATTTCGTCGCGGGTTCCAAGACAGTTTAATTTCTTCCTGGGACTTCCCGAGTGTCATAACTCGGTGTGCTCGTGGGTCACTGCTGTGGATCCTGGTGTACAGGAGTTACAGTGGTGGGCGTTTGGGTGGGATTAGTCCCCATACCATCTATTCTAATATTCTCCGTCTGTGTCCGTCTGTCTGTTTGTATGTTACCTCTTTAGGCTTAAATCGCTGAACCGATTAAGATAAAATTTGGTACAGAGATCGTCCGAGTCCCGGATAGGGACATAGGGTTGTTATTTTTACCAGAAAATATCAATGGGGGTGAAAGTTTGTACGGGGAATCAATAACTGCTGAACTAATTTATATGCAATTTGGTATGTTGATACTTTGATTCTTGAAAAAGACAGGCTACTTTTAACCGTGATAACCGAAATTTATACGGGCGGAGCCGCAGGCTAAAAGTAGTTTACTATAATCTATACTTGTTGGTTTTTAGGTTATTAAGAACAAGAAGGAAACATATTTTGAAAACAAAGCAAAAGGTGTTGTTCCACTAACACTGGAAGAGCTGACCCGAACTCCTGATGATGTACTGGCTAACAATGACAAAACTCTCTCGGAGGATGTATTCAAAGGCTATCGTGATGACTTGGACTTTAATGATGAAAACGATATCGGTATGTTGCAACTAAATTAGTTAATACCGTGTGCAAAGATCTATTGAAATAATTTTGACCTTTAAAACTTGTAGGTGAAAAGAAACGATTAGCTTTCTTAGACTTGATGATTGAATCTGCTCAAAACGGAACGCACGATATTAGTGACCACGAAATCAAAGAAGAAGTTGATACTATCATGTTTGAGGTGAGCTATCATACAATCCCTAGATATTTATTTGAAATATCAATGAATAATCATTTCAAATACTATTTGGTTAAATATATAAAACCTCATATTTTACTCTGTAAATCAGGGACACGACACCACGGCTGCTGGATCGAGCTTTATGCTCTGTCTCCTAGGCGTCCACAGAGATATTCAAGAAAAAGTTTATGATGAACTTTATGAGATTTTCGGAGATTCAGACAGGCCAGCCACTTTTGCTGACACGTTGAGGATGAAGTACCTCGAAAGAGTGCTGCTAGAGTCATTGAGAATGTATCCCCCAGTACCAATGATTGCCAGAAAACTCAACCGCGACGTTAAAATCTGTAAGAGCTTCATTTTAAAAATATAATATTTTTCTTAAAATAAGACCTATAATATAAAAAATATTTGATAATTTCAGCTTCCAATGGCTATGTTCTACCTAAAGGCTGCACTGTTGTAATTGGTACGTTTAAAGTTCACCGTAACCCTGACCACTACAAGGACCCAGACGTATTCAACCCTGACAACTTCTTGCCTGAAAACGCATCCAAGAGGCACTATTACAGTTACATTCCATTCAGCGCAGGACCCAGGAGCTGCGTGGGTATGTGTATTTGAAATTAATTATTTTCTTAATTGTTCTACTCTCATAATTTCAATGACGTCATGTAATTAAGAAAATATATTTTTCTCTTAAGAGCAAACATTGCGTGATGAAAGTAATTTACAACTTATATCTTAAATATCATCTTATTTACTATACAGGTCGCAAATACGCCCTTCTAAAACTGAAAGTGTTGTTGTCGACTGTCCTTCGTAACTACAAGGTCATATCAGACGTCACAGAGGATCAATTCGCACTACAGGCGGATATCATTCTGAAGAGAGCTGATGGCTTCAGACTGAAGATCGAGCCCAGAAGGAGAGTGCCCTCCACCGTTGCTGGCACAGCTTAAACTATAAATATGCTGAATGCACGCATGTCTTCGGGTTAACCCGATAATATATACTCAAACAATCTTAAGGTACTTTCTACGTAAATGTGATACGTAATGTTTATTAATCCTTATTTATAGACTTTTGTTTTGTAGCAGAAATGTCGTCATAAATTTTAATCATTATTTTACAGACCTTATAAACATTCAGGGTAGGCTTAAATTAATAACATTCGATTGAAAGTAAGATTATTCTTTTTCACTGGTAACATGTGTATTTTTATCATTTTTGTCTTCATCACTATGATTTTGAAACTGTTAAACACAACCCGTAGTGTGTTTCAAACCATAATCTAATGAATCGTGATTTAAAGACAAAGCTGTTTGTCATATTTTTTGTATTTTCTTTTTGCCACAAATTAGTAATTGAATGGTAACACTTCCCCTAAATGTTCATTCATTTGTATTCTATATTATTTATATAATTAAATATTTTTTGTCTTTTTTACTTGTTATGTTTTATTCAATATTAATAAAATGTTTACAGTACAGGCTGTGAAATTGTGTTTCCTTGTTATCTTTCAGTAAACCGGTTTTTTCACACCTGTTAAATTTCTTTTCAATAATTTACTACGAACCGATTTTTCCAAAGTATTTCTTTGAAACTAATACTTTAACCTGATCGCGTTAAAAAGCCAGCCAGTTAATTTTTTTTAAATATCAAGGTATACATCCTAAAAATCGTTTTTTTTTTCAATTTTTAGTTTTGATTATATTCGTCATAAAATAATTTGTAATATTAAAATGGAAAACAAATTCTGGAACAAAAGTAGTTGGGATTGCTTACTGGCAACCATGTATATATATATATATATATGTCGGAGATCGTGGAACGGAACGTCAAGTAAAATCGATTTGGGCATTTTTGACAGCTCGCTGTGATATAAAAACACGATGCGTTCAACGGGCACGGCACTTTTTGGGGGACACTCGATACCGACGCACGTTTTTGGTGGTCTAGTGGTAAGCGATCATGACTGCTGAGGCAAAGATCGTGGGTTCAATTCCTACCCAGGACACATATTGTGTGATGAGCGATCCTTTGTTCTGTGTCTGGGTATACTTATACTTATCTATAATATGTGTGTATTCAATATATATGTGTGTTTATCAACAGTCTGATTACCATAGTACAGGCTCCACCTAGTTTGAGATTTGACGACTCTGTAAGATGTGTCAAGTTTTACATTTTTCATCATTATTATATTTAGTTGAGCTATAAAAACAGTTTTAAAGTATTAATAGTACCACTCTGAGTATATTTGTGTTATAACCTCTTAAAAGTAGCTTTCCCCGTCCATTTGATGTCACGTTATTTGACTTACTACGAGGACTATGTAGTACCCTATAGTATTATATGAAGTACCCTCATTATTGAAAGCTAAAACTCACGTTTTTATATTTATATATAATATATAAATTTAAAAGACAACGACCGAAATAGGAATATAGCATGTGTCGCGAGGGAATTTACAAACATCCATGAAACTAACACAAAGAACATCTAGACTCAGAACGACAATTTGTGGATCACACAAAGTGTCGTCCCATGTGGAGATCGAACCCACAACACTCAGCTTAGTAGGAAGCGGCGTGGCGACCGCTTAAACCACTACACCAACCGTGCAGTCAGTCATTCGTATTATTACACTCATTAATTTAACTGCATACTTTGCATCTATCAATAAAATTCTGTTAAGGCATAAAAATATGTATACCACAAATAAGTATATTAATAGTAAGATTTTAGCGATGTCAATGCGTTGTAATGCATAAGTTTGTTAAAAAATGCGCTTTTAAAAAACGTTTTAATTCTTCCTAGCAACAAACAACTATGTCCTTCCCGCTGGAGCGACTGTGGTGATTTGTGCTTACGGGGTCCACCGTCATTTTAAGCATTACAAGAACCCAGATACATTAAATCCAGACAACATCTTACCGGAGAATATGGCGAACAGGCATTATTACAGCTACATACCTTTTAGTGCTGGACCAAGAAGTTGCGTAGGTATGAACAAGCATTGATGAGACATAAACCGACAAGTGAAAAGTAAAAAAAACTGCAACTATAAGTTTTTTTTATTGCAGTATCTTACTAAAAATATCATATTCTACAACATGGTAAAATAAAACACACAAATATCGCCTCATTTTTTGTAGTTTTTTCAAAAAATAAATATCAATAATTCTAATTAATATCTATCCATAATAAATTAAATATTATTTAAAACCATTATTGATTTATTCTTATTCACAAGATTCAAGGCCTCCTCACGGCCGCTGAGTTATTACCGATTTGACACATGACGAATTGACAATACTAGTGAAGTGACTGAACCAGTAACCCTAATATCATTTGGGAACAGTTTGTTTTTAAATATTCTAGTATAGTGTGTAATTAAATAAAATCAAAACAAATAATAGTTAAAGACACAGGTTCTTTATTAGGTGGAGTATCCTTGATGGGCGTAGATAATTGGTCGAGGACATATCAAAATAAAACAAATTTGTAAACACTGTTACACATTTTAATGAATAGAGTAGGTACAAGATGTTTTAATAAATGACTCATTGATCATGAATCATTTATTAAAACAATTATTCAGACTCTGAACCAGATTCGCCAGAGCTGTCATCGCTATCAGTCACTTGTATGACAATTTCATTGTCTATAATGGTGTCCACTCTTATATCGCGTTCATAATCTTCTGTTATTAGTTTTCGAGTCTTTTCGACGACCTTGACCCAATCTTCTTTCGTTATTTTGCTGCAAGCATCTTTTAATAGACCCATCATTTTATTAGTACTGAATGGCGGAGTCGTATTATTACGAGCTGCGTAACCTGTAATGTAAACATTAAATAACGTTAATTTATTACATTAAATAAACGTAATGTTACACAATTACCTACATGTAAGGGACATGAGATATTTATTTCTTAGTTATGTATCTTTTTACTTATATGCTGAATATTGGATGTTATAATAGTACAAATTATTCATATTCATAACTTATGCGATAAAAAACAATACCTTTGATTTGTGCCCATATTAGCTCAATGGCATTGTACTGGCAGTGGTAAGGCGGAATTCGAAGTACCCGATGTCCATGTGCCAGAGCTATCTCATCTACTTCATAACGGACTCTTGATGTTTTATTTTCGCGTACCAACTTTACTAAGTCAGACTTTAGCATTTCGGCAGTAGTTTCAATTCCATTTTGGTGTAGCCATGCTACGAGATCAGCTTTCTTGTCGGCCTGAGTAGGCGCTTTATTCACTTGTTTCGAGTGATATGAAGCGTTGTCCATTATTATGATAGAAGGCTCTGGCAGGCTGGGTAATAATTGATTTTCGAACCAATTCGTAAAAGTGTCTGTATCCATCTCCTCGTGGTAATCGAAAGTACTTTTTGACGCGAAAGCCAGCAGTCCATTTTCAAAGAAACCACTTCCAGCAGAACCGGCGTGACAAATTATCAGTCGCGATCCTTTTCCAATTGGAACCTTTGAGGTTGATGCTTTTGTTTCGTCAGTCCAAGAGCGTGACACAGTGTGGTTCGCATTTAACCATGTTTCGTCAACAAAAACGACGTTGTCCCAAGACTCGATTTTTCTGGCTTCTCTTAAAAAGTCACTCCTTTTAATTTTTAAATCAAATCTTTCCATTAATATTTTCCTTTTATTCGTTTTTTTATATTCAAACCCAATTTCGTGCAATAGTTTTGACAACGCCGTTTTACCGCCTTTAAACAAGCCAGCTTCTTTTAAAGAGACCAAAAGCAAACGTTTAGTTGGAAACTCGTTCCTAGTATAATAACCATATATGTGGTTTCTTATTGCATCTGCATCAAAAACATCAACACCTGTCACGGGCTTTTGTCTTAGTTTTTTCTTAGGAGTGCGTAAAACATTATCTTCACTTCCAGAAGCACCAAATTTTTCTTTATTTATATTATATAGTGTTTTTGCACCAATTCCAAGAGCTTGTGAAACCCGATCTTTCACTTGAGTGACAGGAATCAAAGGACCGCCATTTTGTGACTCACGCTCAAAGTAATCCTGTAGCCTTAGTACAAGCTCACGACATTGACTATTCAATGTTTTTCCTCGTTTCGGCATTTTCAGCAAAATTACCAAACACAAACAAAATTAGTCCAATAAAGCGCAACAATAAACAGGAGAAAGCCGAGTCAAAAAACAACGGTTACACAAGAGAATGTAGTCTGTGCGCACGAGAGTACGAAAGACGACTAAACAGATTAAAATAGCGGTGGTAAGGGTGTTGCCAGAATAGTATCGCCAATTACTTAAAAAAATACACCTATAACATTGCTTAATTGAGGGAGAAAATTATATTTATTAAATGTTGTTTTATATATTATAAATGTTAAAAATTATACATAATCATTTTAATTGTATTTATTTTTAAATCATAGAAAACAGTATTTCTGTCTTTGGATCACACATAAATCTTAAAAATCATAAGATACTGGCAACACAGTGCAATTAGGAGACGCAAAAAAATGGTAGCATTATATTTAGTCTAGTTGCTCGAAGGAATAAATAAAATAAAAATATCCAAATAAAATAAATATCATATCTATTCCAATGAATTCGGACCGAATACTATCAAGCACATCACTATGAAAACTAGACGCACGATGTAACTTTGGACAAGCGCGCCAAAGAACAAAAAATAAATGTTTTCATATTATTTACAAACTATTTTAAGTTTTGAAGCAGAGTTTATTGGAAAATTACTTGATTCTGACATTTTGACATAAAGTTTTATATTAAAGAGGTATTCTAAATCATTCGGCAAATGTGTCGCTCGTGCAAGGTTGTATCGATTAATTTAAGAATAATCTGTCAAATCGGTAATAACTCAGCGGCCGTACTTTAAGAAATTAACACTAGGTGTATAGGGTTGCAGCCTTTATGCCCCGCGGTGACTAGCCGT